TTTGTTTTTCTTGGCACGGACAGGCCAGGAGGTGTGTGTGCCGAGAGGTGGGAGGAGTCTTGGAGGGAAACACAGTTTTGCAAGCCGCAATCAGTGCACCTAGAGTAGAACAGGCAGGCGACCAGGTGCTGTGACGCGAATCTCTCATTTGGGCATATAACCCCATTCCTGTGGGGACCTGGGGAGCTGAGCCGAGGATGTCAGTGCCATGCCTGTCACAGAGCTCTAGATCATGTCTAGGCAGCAGTTGTTGCTTCTTCAAAAATAATCCCAGCTCAGCTGAATTCCGACCTCAGAATTATACATGACGCTTCCTCCCTCCCAACTCAAAAGTCAAGGGGAAATGAACTGCTCCAGGTCCCCAACCCTCATGTTCCCAGCTTGCTTGAATACCTTTTTCTGCAGCTGCCTAGACAGGGAGGCCCGGCTTCAAGTAGAATAGACTCCCCTGCCCCATGAATGCCTTGGAAGCAAACCTAGAGTTCATTGCTAGCAGAGAGGTAGAAGGGAATGGAATGGCAAAAACACTTGATTTTTCTTACAGAACCCCATTCTTGTGAAGGCAAGATGGGATTTGCAAGCACACATAGGATTATCCCAGGTGCCAACTTCAGCAGAGGGCATCCAAGTTTGCCACAAGCAAAGGCAGAGCGAGTGCTACACACCCTCCTAAGAACAGATCCCGGCCCTCCCAGGCAGGGAATGCAGGGAGCCACCAAGGCTTGCCTTCACACCATCTCAGTGGAGTTTGGGCCTTCTGGGCATAGTCCTAAGACAGTGCTGCTTCCATTTTTACCTCAACCTAGAGCCAGTGCCCAGCCTCTTTGGTACAATCCACAGAGTTTATGTTCTACAAAGGGAGAAATTTCAATAACTGATACAGTGCCAATGTACAAGCATCCCAAAAGAGCATCTGGTTATCTCATAGGAAAAGTGAATGCCAGTGAGAGCAAACCACATGACCTGTCAGACAGTTCCCGTGTGGCCGACATCAAACATCCCCTCAGAGTGACCAGTTTGAAGAGGAGTGTCTGCACAGACAGCCAAAGTCTTTTCATAGCCTGCTGCCTATCTGCCCCACTGTGTTAATGGTGCCTTAATGTCAGTCCAGGTGGCCATGTCTTTGTGATAAGCAAGTGTGGGAAGCCACTACTAAAATCTCAGATTCCCTAGCTAACTTGAAAGATGGATTTCATCCAATTTTTGGCTCTTTTCTCCAAAAACTCAAGTTCAAATGCATAAAAGGAATGCAGAGAGCAATAAAGATTCTGTTCATATTTGTCTTGTCTTTGATCTAGTTAGAATCTGTGTTTCAATACTGGGTGGGAAATGAATGCTGTTGGAATTTCAGCCTATCTGTCCAAACTTATTTCCTGCCATACCCTTCACGAACCCTTACAGAGGTCACTTTACTCAATCTTCCATTTCTCTAGTTCAGTCTTTGCTGCCCTCCTTCCTGGGTCGGACTCTCCAGCAGATTCTCCAACCAAATCCACCTTGCCCCAGCATGCCTATTACATTGGTTATTACACCTGTGGGCCTGGCCGCCTAACCTGAGCCCAGCCCACTCTTTCTGGCTTCACCAAATGATGTCTCAACTTACTGCCATCCCCAGCTTGGTCTAGCTTAATAGTTGCAAAAGTCACACAGTTCCTCCCATAGCAACAGTCATTGCAAACTGAATGTTAGATCATATCTTTATTACAAGCTATCTGTGCATTTAGCAGCTATTTCTTTGTTATGGAGTAGGCACCGTGAAAGGGGATGTGGTAGAAATGTACTGGTGATCAAGTGGCTCATGATCTAGTAGGCCTGTGCTTCTCATGTACTTTGACATGTATATGGGCCACCAGGGAATATTATTAAAGATTCTGTTCCATTAATCTGATCTCAGTTGGGTCATAAGATTTTGCATTTAAACAACTTCTCATGTGACTATGACACAAATTATACTTTGAGTATACTTTTAGCAGGTACAGGGGGTGCCAACATAGGTACTTCTAACTTGGTCAGTGATATTGCAGATGAGACCCAGAGGATGAAAATAGATAGGTAGGTCTGTACGGAGAAATGAGGGGTGGCAGAGGCAAAAAGGAAAGTAAAGATGTTGAACTTCTATTCACTGAAGTCCCCAAGCCTGAACAAAAGGAAGTGCTTTGTTTATTGAGTACTTTTTGCCAAGGGCGATGGCAACCCATCAAAGGTAATGGCTTCAGGTTGTATCTAAATGGCTGGATGGCAGGTCCCAAGGCTCAGAGCTCTGCCAAAGATACCTGCATCCAAGATTGGTACAAACACAGCACAATCAAGAGGACCGCATGGAATGGGACAATGGGCATCTCAGTGGTAACTAGTTTAGATAACAGACTGGTCAGGCTGGCTTTGGCACCGAGTCAAGTCCTGGAAGCTTTGTCAAACTCTGAGGAAGAGTAGAAAGCCTCAGCAGTGTCTGAGGCTGAGTTTCCCACCACCTGGAGGAAAGGGGACTGTATTCAGATATCAGGTAAAAAATTAAAGAAAATAAACATGACATTCACACTCAAGCTTGCATTCTTGATTCACACACACTTCAGCAGCTTAAGGAATGCCTTAATCTGTACATGGCATAAGGAGACACTCTGGCTGTAGGTCCACAAGATGAATGCCAGAGCACAAAGGGAAAGGCTAAGAGTTAACATTTTGAATGTTTTTCACCAGCCCAAGAAACACTTTTGTCACACTCTCTTCAACTAGTATGTTTCGGTTGAGTTTACAGCTCCAGAATAACGTTGTAAGATGAACAACTTGGAAAGCACAGTTAATTACAGCAGCCAACACACTAATGAATCACACTGCCCCACTGTGAAATGTGTGGTGTTTGGAAGTGCCCCCCCATCGTGGAGATGGTACGTGCAGAGTGAACAACAGTGCCTTGCAGTAGACATCTGCTGAACTCTAATCTCTGAAGTCATTGGACAAGAGAATAAGACAGGGGCGGGGGGTGGGGAAGCTTTTCTGAAAATATTTTAATCCCTCTCAGAGCAATTTTTCAGAGAATGGGAAACAGTTAAGGGAAAAATATATCTTCAGATCATTAAAATAAGCAGGGGAAATACCCTTAACTAGAATAGGATTCATTTTCACATTTGTTGTAGCAGGAGCAAGAAGCTGGGCTGAGGACTGGAGAGCTAGGAATCTGGAAGGAGGAGAATGCATATGGATGCTACGGCTGAGGCATGGGTGGGAAGCTTGAGTCAGCCCCCAGTGGTGGAGGGTTCCTAGTTTCAAGTTTACGATTCAAGGTCGTAAGTCTGAAGTTTCATAACCACGAGTTTCAGATACTTTTCAAAAAATAAACATCATCACCAGGTAAAAGCACAAATGACCTCTTTCATGGTTACTGTGAACCCAGGTATCAGGGAGGAGACGGCTGTGCTGAGGATCAGATCTAAGAAGGTGTCCGGGGCAGCAAGATCAGTGCTTGCAGCTCAGGAGTGAATGCAGCAAAGTTCTATGGTGCCCTTGGGCTCAAACAGAGTTCTTTGATGGGCCCTGAGGGTGTTAACTGCCTAGCAGGAAATTACCAGAGTGGTTCTTTATTATGTTAAATTTATTTTATTATTTCTTTTATAATCCTCACCAAAAGATATGTATTTTAGAGAGGTGGGGGGAGCAAGAAACAAAGAGAGAGAGAGAAACATCAATGTGAGAGAAAAACTCGGATCAGTTGCCTCCCTTATGTAAGGACCCTGACCAGGACTTGAACTTGCAAACTTTTGGTGTATGGGATGACACTCCAACCAACTGAGCCACCCAGACAGGACCCCAGGGTGGTGCTTTAAACTGCTACCTGATCAACTTTTCTGGATGCAAGGAGTCATTGCTTCTCTCTGACCATTTACTTTCACCATCCACAACTGTGGCCAGGTACACCTTCTCAGGTTGGATGGGGAAGCTTGGACGAATTGCTGAGACATGACAGGCAGGCATCTGAGCCGCCAGCCTCTTCCTTCCAATCTTATGCAGCCTCTCTTCGTCTGTGAGTCTTTCCTGAGCCCCAACAATGAGAAGCAAAGGAGGCCCCCAGGGAAATTATAAGTGACAAATGCTTAGGAAGCAATGGTTTTCAAACTGTGTTCCTCAAAGTGTTAGGGTCTGACTTTATGAGTGAGGAAATATGTCCCCCTAGAGGAGTGGGGGCAGGATTCAGAGTCTTCTGCCCACCACCACGGCCAACACAGATCCAATTTTACTTATTTTATTTGAGGTTTTATGTCTTTATTTGTTTTAAATACATAAACAGGTTAAAGCGAAGAAAATGATGTGCCTGCATCAGTAACATCATACCATGTATTTCACAGGTGAAACAACTGAAGGGCTGAAGCCAAGAGAGAAGCATATTGTGTCCAGGTGGAGCTCGGAGGCGATGGGAATTCCTAAGAGGTCACCATGAGACACAGAAGCTCACTGGGCTAATAATTTTTTCTATTAAGTGAGGATTTTTGTGCTAGTCACTTTAAAAAAATATTTTCTGTACAAGTTGGCACAACAGCTCCCAGTTCCTACTACAGTGTTAACCTTCTGAACCCTCCTGTTCAGACGCTAACTGCGGGGGAGGTGGGGGGAGGGGGGACTCTGTTCCACAGAGTGCCAAGCTGTGGTCCTGCTTACCAGAAAAATTTCCCTGTCCAAAAGGCAGGTTGATTTTTTTTTTCTGAGAAAATTCCATACTGTTTTCCATAATGGTTGTACCAGTCTGCAGTGAAACAGGCCAGGTGTTGAAAGACAAATACCATATGATCTCACCTTTAACAGGAAGCTAAACAACAAAACAAACAAGCAAGCAGAATAAAAACAAAGACACTGAAATAGAGAACAAGGGGACAGTGACCAGAGGGGAGAGGGGAGGGAATTTAAGGGGAAAAAAGGGGAGGGATTTGGAGGAACAAATAGGAAGGACACAGGGACAAGAACTAAGGGGGGTGGAAAAGGGAGGGAGGTGGGGAGCACCGGGTGGGGGGCGCTGGGATGGGAAAAATAGACAAAAAACTGTAATATAAAAAAAAAGAAAAAAAAAATTCTCCGTCCAGGATCAGATTTCACCTGAGACTCTTAAGCCTTGGGAATTTGGCCCCTGCTAATTTGGCCATTCCTTAAACAGGTTTCTCCACTTGTAAATGACTGGGATTTTGTGCATAGCTAGAAAAACTGATTTCCGTGACAAGTGGGAAAATCAACATTTGTTTTTAAAGGAAGAAATTTTCACTTTCAATATGTTTTTTCTACCATGGAAAGGACATTCTCTATATTCCCCAAGGAAATGCTAGGTCACCGCACAAGTAAAAAATAAACAAGTCCCATGAATCACATCCAAAGAATCAAAAGTTAAGCAAACAATATTTTTTTCACATAACTAGACATGTGTGGTTTTATTTTAGTTGTTAAATCTAACTCCTGAGCTCCTTGAGATTAAGTGATTTAATAACCTCATTTGAAAGGATATCTAAGGATGAAAGTAGAGACAGGAAAGGGGACGGATTAATCTTTCTTGGATGTTTCTTCCCCCACATCTCCACAGAATTCAGAGAGAGCTGAACCCCATAAACAGGAGAGCCTCACTTACTTTCTAGAAAGACAAGACTTCCCTTGAGAAGTAGGGCTCGACCTTGAGTGGCAACAGGAGCTAACTACTATGGAGGGAGCATGAGGACTAGTGATGGAAATCTTCCTTGCAAACCGAAGTAGAGCCCAGAAAACTACCAGCCACACAAGCCCTGAGTCTCCCCTCCACACCCTCACCTTCTTTTTCCCTTTCTTGCCTACTTTAAAAATAGTGGACTTCTGTGACTGCGGAGGTGTGAGGCTGGGAATGTAATAATTTTGAAGTGGAAAACTCTTGAGACAGCCCCAGAGGAAGAAGAGAAAGAACATTCTTTTCCAAAAGACACCAAGCAGCCTTAAGTAAATTTATTTGTTCAGCAAAGGTCAGTAAAGCCATGCTTTTCCCATTTAAACTGTACACAACAGATGAACATGAGGGATAAACACCACTCCGTGTATCAAGAGACTCAAAACAGGCCAGAAATTCCCCCGAACTCTCTTGGGTACCAGGCCGATGTGTCGCACACAGAACTGAGGAGCTGAGCTTTCACAGTGCAGGGTGGTGTAGACTCAGCTAAATAAACTTTTTAGGGCTGGAATACATGAGCGCCGGCCTGGAAAAAGAAGGTAATGTCAGAAACAGTCCAACGTTCACTGGGCGTTGTGCTGCACGAAAGCAAAAGACATCAGGCGGTAAGCTGCTACTTTCAGAAAAAGAATGCAGGGACTCGCACAATGAAGACAGAAATTAATTAGAGAGAGGAAGGCAGCCTGTTATTAAAATGGCCACAGGAAAGGGCAGTGGATCCCGGGTTTTTCTGAAAGTCCTTTCTAGAAATTCATTTATTTGGATCACCCAGCCAGATAGGACTCTCCTTTGGCAATTCGGTAAGATGGCTTTCTTTCTGTGAACTGAATTTCCTTTCCTGCATAACTCTATCACACAATTATTGCCATATCATGTTAGAATAATCTGTATACTGAAAAAGCTATATTTAGTTTTGTTATGTTGGTAAAGCTTTTATTTTTACTAGTCTTTTTTCATGGTGGGATTGTAAACTCAAGAACAGGGAGCACTTTTTGCTGTTCCTTCTGTGCCCTGCAATGTCCTACCCCATGCCCAGCACATGGCAGTCAAAAATAAGCCTCATTTAAACTGAGCAGAATCCCAGCCAAGGCCTCGTACCCTTGACCCTGGCACACTCTCGGAGCAGGCACAGTGGTCCTTCGGTAGGCACAGAGGATTGGTTCCAGGTCCCCACTCGGATCCCAAAATACCAGGATGATCCAATCCCTTATATAAAATGGCATAATATTTGCATATAACCTATGCACATCCTCCTGTAGTATACTTTAAATAATCCCTAGATTACTTATAATACCTAATACAATGTAAATGCAATATAAATAGTTGTACTATTCTATTTACAAAATAATGACAAGAAAATAGTTCGTACACATTCGGTACAGACACCACCTTCATAGACCAAACTACATAGTGCATATCAGCAACAATGCAACATTATTTTCAAATATTTTCAATTCAGGGTTGGTTGAATTGGAAGCCATGGTACAGAAGGCCAACAGTACTGTCAGTGATCATCCTTTTCATTAATAGAATGTTAGCTACTGAGAAGACCCTGAAGTCTTCTAATTTCTATCCAAAAACAGTATCAGAAATGCAGTTTCCAACTTACCAAGGGTGGGGCTTCAATTCTAAGCTCTGCATCAACCAGTGTCCCTGGAGGACATCCCTCCTCCGCCCTCTCAGTTCCATCCCCTCCGGTGCAGGAAAAGGGGGCACGGAATCAACGTAAGGCATCAGGAAGGGGTGAGTAGGAAGAGGAGAGAGAAAGCTGTTTTCCAACCTTGCTAAAACACAAAATCATTTCCCAATTATACTGAATTCTCAGCTCATCTGGGAGATACAAAATGATGCCAGAGAACTGAATTACAAACCCCCTTTTCTCTTCTCTCAGACTTTAATAAAAGTTAACATTTCCTTTTTAGGAAATTTTGTTCTAAAGCAGATTTGCTGATTTTCAACTAGGCATCTCCCAAATTTGAAATCAGAAATTGCTCCAGTCCCGATGCCCCCTCTTCTGGCTCCAATTGTGTTTGCCCCATGTTACTGCTGCTACCTTCACCCTCCTGGGGCCACAGATGATTCTAAACTGAGAGGCAGCCATGACTTAAGCCACACAGAGGTGAAATCACTGTCAGATGTTCAGTGAAAATGAAGGTGCAAACCTCATTTACTGTCCCAAAAATTGGAAATGCAAAAAGTCTCTGAGATTAACCAATCTCATAACTTCTGCCTCAAAAAGAGAAGTATTTCTTCCACTTCTTGCCTGAAAAGCCCTATCTCCACCCTTCCAGTTAATCAAGTCTGAAAAAATTCCTGGAAGTGGAACAACTAAGAGAGGCGGCCCCATGAATTGTCAAGGCCTTTAGAATTCCTGTGATGTATAGATGAGAAAGAAGCCTTTCCATGCATGTGGAAGGTGCATGGGATTCTTAATTTATGGTTTAGGAGTTGCAGGCTAAAGCAGTAAACCCGCTAAGCTACGGAATCACTGCCAAGGGTAACCTCTAACACAGCCTGCAGAGGTCAAGCAACCTTTTCTCTGCCAGTCAAAGAGTTCTTTGCTTACTCAAGGCGTTTTTTGTTGAACAAAACAGAAAACCACTTGAGTGAGCATCAGCTAACATGGGCAATTTGGTGGAAGAAAACAAGAGTAGGAAATTCCATCCAGCATCATGAGGGAATGGAAATGGAACTGAACAGCTGACCCATAGCACTCATTCTCTGAAGGTGCATCATAATTTCTCATTCCTCGTCCTGTATGTACCCTGATGTCCTATGCTTTGGAACGAGGAATCAGAGGAGCTGGGTGGGCTCTGATAGGCCCAGATGTAGGTAGAAAATCTACCTATGAAAAGAAAATCTTTGAGAGGACAAGCCTGCTTTTACGTGTTTTTGCCCCTCCTGGGTTTCTCCCCGCCCCTCTCGCGATGTTGACCTATGGTGTGCTTGTCGTTGCTGGGCTCATTTTCTTTAATCTTTTGATACCCTGCCCTTTGCAGCACTCTCCTCTCTCTGCTCCTGGAATCCCGGGCTTTCCTCCAAACCGACCTCCCCTCAAACTCCTGTACCAGCATACCCCTCCCTACTCTGCCCCTCCACTGAATGTGGTGTCCCTCAAGCTCTGTCCCAGGCCTTTCATTTTATACTTTAAGTGATCTCAGCCACACAGATGGCTTCAATACCCTTCCTATGGCCCACCTATTTATTGAGTCTCAGACCTGTATATCTACTTAACAGGTTCACAATTTTACTTGGAGGTTTCAGAAGCACCTTAAATCAATTTATACAAACCTCCAGCTCTTTACCCCCAAATCCTCCTCAAAGATTCTCAACCTTGGTAAATGGCTTTAACTCAGCTGCTGAAGCTAGAAACCTAGGAGTTACCTTTTATTTTTTCTGTTCCCTGCTCTACCCCTATATAGCCCAACACTGATTCTCCCTGTCTAATCCACCTAATTTTCTCCACACTTAAGTTAAGCTCTCACCTCTTCTTATCTGGACCACAGCAACGGGCTCCTGCCGGACGCTCTGTACCCATCCTTGCCCCTCCCCAAGCGGTGGCCACTATGATCCTTGACACATTCCAGGCCTACCACACCACTCATTGCCTTCAGAGGCTTCCTATGGTCGTGGATGTCCATGGCACCATCTCCGAGGCCCGGTCACCTCTGTGAGCTCGTGTGTCACTCCTGCCTCACCCAACCGCAGCCGTCACATCACATCGGCCTTTGTTTAGTCGTTTGGAGATGCCACACTTTCCTACCCTCAGAGCCTTTGCACAGGTTGCTCTCTTTTCTGCCCAGACCACCTCCCTACCCAACCCTTTTCCTTACTGAATCCCACTCACCCTTTGGTCTCACCTTAAAGATCACTTCTGAGCTCCCGCAGTTAGAGATGTTGTTTGGGAGTATTTGTGTGTGCATTTGTATTTTGTATGTTTGGTGCACTGCATTGTCTTCTGCCAAATGTTTCACACTGGCATTGATTTATTTCCCTTGTGCATTCAGTGACTTGCATGGAACACCGGCTGGTGCCGGGCACTGCTCTGGGCACTGCTCTAGGCACTGGGGCTGCAGCGTAGAATGGGAGCTATTCCTGCAGTCAGGGGGCTTCTGCCCTTTTTAATGTCTCACTGACTGTTTGATTTTTAAGTTTGTGAGGAGAAAGCACACGTGTTTTGTTTAGTGCATGGGCACTGTCTGGCATGTGTAAAATATTCAGTAAATATTTGCTAACTGATTAGCCTCCTGGAATTACTACTATACTGGGCACATGGTAAGTAAATATGTGTTGAATTAGGCAACTTCTTTTAGGCAATCATGTCCATAGGAAAAAATATTACTTCATATTTATAATGATAACTTTCATTTTATTATTTGATTTTTAGTTAAGAGTTATTGGTTCTCTTATCCCTGTTAACTATTATAAATGAATAAAGGAACAAGACAAATAATTTCAGAATAAAAATAATTCTAAGGCCTGGCTGGTGTAGCTCAGTGGATTGAGCGCGAGCCTGCGAACCAGACAATCGCGGTTCGATTCCCAGTCAGGGCACATGCCTGGGTTGCAAGCCAGTTCCCTGTAGGCCAGTTCCCAGCAGGGGACGCACAAGGCAACCATACATTGATGTTTCTCTCCCTCTCTCCTTCCCTTCCTCTCTAAAGATAAATAAATAAAATCTTTAAAAAAAAATAATTCTAAGGAAATGAGACAGGATGATCCAAGATAAACCAAGGGGTTCTATGTCACATCATAGCAAATGGTTAGAAAGATCCTCTCCAAGGAGGGGAAATGTGAGCAGAGACCTGGATAACAAGGAGGAGCCAGCTCTGCAAAAACCCAGGGTGGAGGCTTCCAGAAAGAAGGAACAGGAAGTGCAAAGGCCTAGAGGGGTGTGTGTGTGTGTGTGTGTGTGTGTGTGTGTGTGTGTGTGTGTGCGCACGCACGCGCTGGGGGCGGGAGGGGGGGTGAGAAGCATGAAGGCCAGGGTGGCTGCAGTCTGTGGGCGGGGGAACAGGCCGTGGAGGTCAGAGAAGCAGCCTGGGGCATCCCCAAAAAGGGGGCAGCGGGCCAAGGAAAGAATTTAGGACATTTTTTCTGTTTGTAGTGAAATCTTGGTTTTTTTAAAGCAGAGAATGATCAGCTCTGCTTTATAATTTTTAAGCAAATGACTCTGCTTTGTGAAGAATGGGCTAAGATCTATACCCCTCCTGGCACTAAGAACCTCTTAGAATATCAAAGACTACTCTAGGAAAAAATGAAATTGTCTTGGTATCAAAAGTCTGACTCCATTTGGGGCTATCATATAATTATAAAGGTGTTCGATGGCTTTAGTCCTTTCTGATGAGTTTCACGTCCTGACTGACAGCAGTGAGACAAAAATATCCCACTTTACTGAAGAGCAGTCAGGTAAGGGGACATGGCTGTGTTATCAGACTTATTTATTTATTTGAGATCTGTTTATTCTCTGATCATTAATGAGTATCATCCATTTGATGGACATTAAAAAACAGTCATTTCTGATAAACAACTTCCTTCAGCTCAGAAAGCTCATAACATCGTCACCAGAGCCCCTCCTGTTGAGGCTCACTGATGCATCTTACATGAGTCAAACTCATTATTTATGATCAGTGAGATACCCAAGAGAAGCGAGAGTCATCCTCACAGACACATCTGCCGGTCTTATATCTGAAACTGATTATCTCCAAGTTTTTTATTGTGTCATTTTAACAAGTGTATTGCACTGTTTTTAGTCTGGAGCCTTCCTCTGAAAGCAGGGGACAATGACTTCCCTAAATACTGCTGCAAACAAAAAACCATCGAGAGGCTCTGGAAGAATGGAAGCCACGCTGCTGTTTGTTAAATGAAGGAGACAGCCTGCTGCACTGGATGAACAGGGGTCTGTCCCATAGGCCCTTCTGGAACATGCCAGGGGCTCTTTTTCGTTTCTTATTTAGTTGTCATGTCATTAAGATATTGGGATGCAAGCCAGTTTACCTTTTAGAAGCCAAGAGCCCTGAGATTTCTTTCCTGGAAGGGGCTGCACCACACTCAGCCAGTCAGCCTGTTACAGCCACTTCAGCTTGGACAAAGGAGTGGAGCATTAGCCTTAGGAAAAGACTGAGCAGTAACCTCAGGGCATTAGCGGCGAGAAGGGAACTTGAGTCAGAGCTGTGTTCCTGCCTAATTCTGGGAGCCCTCACTTGCTCCCTGCTCAAAGCGTTGTGTCCAACCTGAGGTTGTGATGGGCTTCAGAGCTTCTGCTGCTGGTGGAAGGAGGCCCTCATCAGTGACAGGAGGTTCTGTCCTAACAGGCCCATGAGGAAGTGGTAGGTGCAGAAACAAACTCAGGAAGAGATAACTGAGGGAGCCCTGAAAGATGGCAGCATGCTGGGCAGGAGTATGGCAGGCAGACTGGCAGAAGACACAGGGTCTGGTCAGTGGTCAGAATGGAAAAGGCTAGCATCAAATAGTGGGACCCTGTCATTGGTCTGGACACCAGAAGTGTGACTCCAATATGGCACAATAGGCAGACAAGGTGGGATGCCAGACTTAAGAGATGGGGTACCAACTGGAGTCCCAGATAAGATTCTACTTTCTGATCTTAGAATTTGGGGGATGAGGCTGGCCAATAATTAATAATACTAGGAGAGTCCATCCTGCTACTAAAATCTGCCAAGAAATTCAGAGCTCTAGTGGGGTCTAAGCCTATGTCCAGAGGGCTCTCAGGGCTATGGAGGAGTCCCCACCGGGCAGGCACAAGGACCAGGCAGATGAGTCTTCAGATGAGTCAGTGCCTAATATAGTGCTTGGAATAGGTAGGTGCTTCATAAATAGTTGTTGAATTAATCACACTTAGTTCTGAAACCTAGCTTTCTTAAGAAACCTACCCCTATGGCTATTTATTGGGCAATTTAAAAGGTTTACTTTAATAACATTCCCCTTTCAAATTATTCTGGAAAAGGCTACACTATTTTATTTGAAAACCTTGAGCCCCACTTTGCTTGTTTTTCTCACCAGCTGACAGAGTGCCCCATGGACCTTCCTCAAAGGGCAGCTGCTGGGTCACACTGCAGGAGGCCAGGGCTACCAGAGGTGAAATGTACACCTGTGGCACCTGAAATAACATAGCATCCAATCGGCCCATGGTGAGTCATTGAGGACTGATAAGGGCAGCCACAGTCTATGGCTATTATAAAAGTCAACATGTTTTAAAACTAAGAAAATTTCACAGGCCCCAAGTGTCAATTGTCTAAGGGGTGAGTGGGAAACTGTGGCTGAAAAGTACACCACTACAGGAAGTCTTTATACATATCAAGTACACTACTGAACATTTTATACATAGCAAGCCTCGCATACCACCTTGTTATGACTTCACAGCAACCTTAAGACTCATGTCTCCTGGTGTGACAGTGGAAGAAACAGAGTTAGCAGACCCGGGTGTAAGAAAGGAAGGTGACAGAGTCACAGGGACCAAAAGTTACAAGTGAAGACTGAGTTACATTGGTCTGCGTAATTGTTCAATGTGAAACTACAGCATGGTAGTTCCACATGGACTGTGGCTAGTTCACATACCCTCATATTCTTTGGTTTATTTTTTCCTCCTTTTCTTTCTAACCAGTGAGATTTTTATCTTTAAAAGACACACATACACAACCAGCCCTCACCACACATGTGAAAGTTACATCGAGCCATGTCTCGCCTTATTCACGGAAGGTTTGTCCCACTGGCACCTGTCGACCTGGTTTCAGCAGACCACAAATCAAAATCTAAACTGTATTGAAGGCACTATCAGATCCTAACAAAGCCATGACTTGAAATATCTTATTTCATCCAGGCAGGCTTTCTTCTGCAAAGGCCTCATGTTCAGAGAGAAGCCAAACCTTGTGCTACTTCAAATTATCCTTTTGATTTTCCTCTCTGTCTTTAAATCTATTAGTCTATGAGTTTATGCAAAGGTTTCCATGCATGTGCCTAGAATGTGGGTATCACAGATGTCCGTGGCAGCATGAAAAAAAACAGTGAAAGCCATAGGCCTTTATAAGCTGAGTAACCTGCCTTTCTGAGACTCAGTTTCCCCATTTGGAAAAAAGGTAAAAAAAAAAACAACCCTTTTTAAAAAGACTGTGAAAAGTAACCAAGCTTTGTAAAGCACCTAAGCTATTGTAGACGCTCAGTACACAGCAGACATCATGTTTACATCAATTACATAAAATCAATGCTAGATATGACATAATCTACTTAGAAACAAGTAGGTGTGAGGTTTGCCCTTGACACTCACAGTAAAGGCACATTTCATCTGGCAGAAGATGTTTGATAAACCCCATTCAAAAACTAGTGTGCCCACAGATGGTAATTCATATCTGTCCTTTGGAGTAATGGTACAGGTAATGTGGCCATGCCCACCTAAAGCTGACTGATGGTTGTCTCTGTCACCTTGGCATGCATGGGACGCAGTAAGTGCTGAATTCAAATATCTATGCTGATATAAAGTGCAGGGTCACAGATAATTCAAAAGGGTAGATACCCTCTCGATTATTCATTCAATTTCTTATTAACAATAGCTCCCTTAAATATGCCTTAGGTCTTGGCTATGGCATCCTGTATGAATATGTATCAGTGATGGTGAAAAGAAACTCATAACCTTTCTGACCTAGATACAAAGCTATCTTCAACTTGAATACTGTTGCATATTTTTTGCAAGATGCATAATTGGCGGTATTATACCACTGTCTATTGTACTCCTATTGTAGTCATATAACAATTATATTACAGCAATTCCATTCAAATTTTAAAATACTTCTATGTGCACATCAAGTCCCATCACTTAAATGTCTAGTCTGAATTATCTCATTAGGTTAAGTGTGAACATAGTACCAAGGAAACGAGAGGGTGCATTTTTTCAGAGACTAATCAGCGTCTTTCTTTTGGTGGTCCTACAAAAGTCTGTGATAGGAAAACTGCATGACTATAAACTCTAAGGTTAAAAGCCACCAGTACTGCTGGGTAAATACCCCAAACCTGTGTCCAGCTGATCAATAGGACCCTGAGAACAGTGTTGTCTAAATGTTTCTATAACCACAGTGTCACCAACGTCACGATTTATCACAAGGGACACTGTGAAACCCTCAATGCAATCTTCATTTGTGTTCATTCAACCAAAATTGGCAAGTGCCTGCTAGGTACCTAGGACTGGCCTCCCCATTCTTTATCTACCACAGTGGCTCTCAAAGTACTGTAGGAATCCATGGGGCCCTCTCAGGGACCCCCAAATCTCTCCCCTTTCCTATATCTGTATGAACCTGGACTTAACTTAAGACACATATCATACAATACATTGAAATGCAGAACATAAGAGAGTCCAGGTGTTTTCTAGTAAATCAGACATCAAAAAAAATTGCAGAAGCTGAAACAATGCCACTCTCCTTGCTAGTTTTTGTATTTCCTTGGGTGGTAGGGGTACAGTTACTTTTCATATGAAATTATATTTA